AAAAAAAAACCCGTTATGGCCGGCTCTATCTACAGGGCAGTTTGTGCCCATATGTAGCAAGTGAGACGACTATCATGGTAGGCAGCAGAGGTGGGATTTTGTTTTAGGGAGCAAGGCTTACATTCAGTTCCATTGATTTGTGACACCTCAGCTAAGTCATTCAGACTTTCTATACCTTGGTTTTTGCATCTGAAATCAACTAATTTCTTCCCAGCAAGCACTTAATATTTAGTAAGAGAGTATTTATGAAGTTATTTGAGGACCCGGAATGACAGGAACTGGAGAAGGGAAAGGGTTAATGCTGATTAATGTACACACAGTCTCTCTGCCTTCAGTAGCACAGCTTGTGCAGCTATATGTATAACTTGTTATAGACCTTTCCAGTGCATACATAAGGGTTAACCGTTGCCAACTTAGGGACAATAATCATACGATTTCCAAGACACTGCTGGAAATGGGTCTAAGTTTCAGTCTTTTCAAATTATTAAACTATGTAGAGGCAGGGGTGCTCACCAGTTTATTCTAAGGAAGTTAACGTCTCCCTTCTGAAGTGCTGACTGTCCGGTAATTTGGCCGGTAGAGACATTGTACATTCTTGCAGTTCTGGATATTTGAATAAACAACATGGTGTTTATTTGCTACATTTTCTAGTAAGACACCTCTGTTGTCCACTATCCTGTTAACTTGGGAATGAGTGAAAATTGTTACAGTGGGGCTGGATATTGTTACACTTTGGTTAACCAGGGCTTTCAGCTGTTACTGAAGACTAGCTTGGATTTTGTTCTAGTGGAAAACTTCAATTCACTCAAACTGTGTAAAGTGGAGCACAGTGGTTGAATGAGACATCTTCATAGTAATTCAGGGTAACCAAACTAATCATCATGTCACTTTGTGTTGCAGCTCGTGGTTTGGATATTCCTTCTATTAAGACTGTGGTCAATTATGATGTGGCCCGGGATATAGACACCCACACCCACAGAATTGGACGTACCGGCAGAGCAGGCGAGAAAGGAGTAGCATACACTTTGCTGACTCCCAAAGACAGTAATTTTGCTGGTGATCTTGTCAGAAATCTGGAAGGTGCCAATCAGCATGTTTCCAAAGAGCTGTTGGACCTTGCAATGCAGGTATGAACAAAAAAGTCTTTAGGGGGAAGGATCCTTTGGTGGATCTTAAAAGATCATTCAGAGGGTTGTGCCAGGGGTGAATTGGGTGTTTGCCACTATCAATGTAAAAACAATCTAAATGTGTGTCCTCAGCTGAGTGCTCTCAGTTCTAAGTCTGCTGGGCCCTCTTGATTCCCAGTGCACTGGTTCATGATGCGTAGCTTCCACCTTGCATCATTTGGTAGGTATCAAGTTGTCTGGGCTTTCAGCACCTGCGCTTCCAAAGTCTAGCCTTCCACCTTTTCCATGGCCTTTGAGAGAGTTTGCCTTCTCACAGGAGGCATGAAGTCTCTGGACCAGAATATATGATCCATTTGTTAGAGGCGCACCGATACATCGGTTCAATATCGGATTGATACTGATATAAAGAAACCTGGCTGTATGGGATATCAGCCCGATGGGGCCGATAATTTTGCCAATAAATGCCTGTGCTGCAGTGGAAAGGGAGGGGGAGGGAGGGGGCATGGGGGGTGTAGATCGATGCCTCCCTCAGTGAGGGAGGGGGCAGGCGCTG